AGGGTTAATTGCTAAATGTTATTTTGGTCAAATAATCCACAAGCGTCGATCGATGAGACGGCGCATTATCGTACAACAATCGCCAACTTCCATCTTCGCGATATTCGGACAGAACACGTCGAATAAGGCGCACAAAACGTTCAAAATTCCAAGGTAGAATACCGCATTAACGTTTTGGTCACGTGGAACAAATTCTCTGTGGAATCATAAAACAATAGCATTGTCTTCCTGGACTTTCCAGGCGCGATTTTTGGGTTTCGGCTCATTTCTCATTTATGTCTCACGACCACTTTGAAACGTTGAAACACTCGTCCACTCTGCTACGGATAGGCAATCATCACATAAACTGGTTTCATCAATTGAAATCTTTCGGTAAAGTTTTACAATTTTAAAACAAAATTTAATGTTGGCTCTTTGTTGAAACTCATTTTCGCACCGATGACAAAAACATACTGACACTTAAAACGCATTAACTTCACTTCCAATAGATGAAATGTCATGAAATTTTTACTGGAAGTCAATGAACGATAGCACTAGTTAACATATATATGGCGCCACTAGAATTTACTTTGTTCCTTTTTTCCTGTTTACTTTTGAACGCATTTTGTATATGTACATAAAATATTAAAAAAATTTACTTTCCGCTCACGGATTTGTAATCTTCGCGTTAAAAGCGGACGATTTAAAAAAAAAATCATTTTTGGGGCCTCCTTTTTTGAAAACCTAAACCTAATTTAAAGGAAAATACCTCTATACCCTTATCCACTGTAACTGCTAATTCGGGAACAGTAGTCTAAAGCCCAGCCCAATCGATCACTTCCAATTTAAGTATTGGGAATTGTGAGAAAGGCATTTAAAGTTTTGGTGTATAATCGAAGGACCATAAACGCAACAAATTCATAAAAAACTTTTAAAAAAAAGTCAAAGTATTATGCAACAGACTAACCATGGAAAAATCAAACGGAAAACAAATCATTTGTGTTACTAAATATTTAGAGCTCTTCTCATTTGTATACACAATTTTCGATTTAAAAGTTGTAGACATATTTTTAAACTACACGCGCCCACATTATATCAATATTTTTGCGTTATATTTGGATTGACATATTAACACCCTCAATCAGAAATACCATTTAAGCGATAGTAAACTCATATATGTATAACTTTGGCCGGTAATGTACCTATAATACAAAACATAGTTTTGAAATGTTTCTAAATATTTCATTTACAACTAATTAAATTTATGTTTACGTAAACTTACTTATGATAACGCGAATTAATTTATTCGATTCTGTAGTGGAACTTCAATGTAAAATGTATAAAAACCGCTTTTACAGTGAACATTACTTTCTTGATAACAGCCAATAACCAATGCCACTTTAAAACTAACTGTCCAGAATACGAATAAAGACGAACCAAACAACATATCGATAATAAACCAATATACCAGTGTGTATAATATTTAGTATTGCCTACATGTCCTACCAGAACCACCGTAACCTATCAATTTTCTTTACTGTCAAGTTTATTTAAAGCTGTGTGCCAATCAGTAAGTTTTTTCACTGTTTTGAATAGTGGTGAACAAATTTGCTAGTGTAAAAAAATGTATATATTCCTGTGCCAAATGCAATGTAATATTTTGCACTTCAATTTCAAAACATACATAATTTCGACATTTTTCTTGATATTTACATTATTATATTATATATATTTGTAATTTATTACTTGAGAATCTTAGACAACATACTAGCCTGCTACTATGCGACTTGCGCTAAATATTTACTTTTCAAAAAATCTTTTGACGATACTATATATAATATTTAATATTCATTCGAAAAATATTTCTTTTACTATAATCTTGCACCCCGTTTATAAAACTTGCGGAAGTTTTATATTTTCTGAAAAGTCAAATTCAAATTCCTGAAATTTGGAAATTTTGTTTAAAAACATGCTTATTTTAAGACCCTTGAAAATGTTCAAATAATCACGTCGCATTACATGGGTTCGTGTCTTGCCGCAATCGTTCACTCCAAACATAATCATTTTATATTTGCACTCACACCGCTTGGTTGTAATGTCGTCATCGCACTTACTTTTATTAGGGTCTGTTGCAGTTCTATTGCAAAATAAAAATAAAACAAATAGGCAAAAGCAGAAAAATAGACATAGAAATGTGAACTTTAACGCAGCAAAAAGCGGGTATGTAATCTTCAATGAGAAAATGGAACGCCATAAAATAATGCAAAAGCGGATCCATAAGGGCGAGGATAACAAAAAAATAATAAAATAATAATAACAATAATAATAATAATAATGTTAATAATAATGGAAACTTAGTACACCATCCCACGATTTCAGGTTAAAAGAGGTGGTTGATAGAGGAGATTTTCCAGATCAAGAATATATCTATTTATAGCCTTCGGAAGCGTATAGTATTCGAGACAGAAATCACCCCTGAGTCGCCTGCTTGAATGGAAACGCCTCCTAGGAACATACAAGAGGTCATTCCTTGATTACGTCGAACATCAGACAGTACCCGACCGGACTTCGGACGCAACGAACAGACAAGCACTGACCGCCATTCACAGCCACACCTATAGCAGACGAGCTCGAGTGCCCGCGCCAGAGTGACCTCGCGTAATCTCGTTCTGATATTGTAGCAGGTTAACTCCTATATCCAGAATAAACCCGATATACCAAACATATGTCCTGAGTGGAGGCCCGCATGATACTAACCACCCTTTGTCGCCAAAACCCAACTCATCTAACACCTCTTCCTATGGTCCGATCCTCTGAAACAGCCTCTCTTGGGCCTCGTTAGATGACCTGACGACAACCAAACTATCACTTGCCATCCAAGCGGGACTAGATGACCGTTCAGCAAACAACAACAACAGAGCAACGTAACTGAACGGAAGAACATTTGTATGCAAATATCTCGAAAACTATAAGTCTCCGTCGGCTATAATTGTATGTATTCTTGATCTGGAGAATCTCTTCTATCCTACCATACCCCTTTTAACCCTTAAATCGTGGGATGGTATACTAAAGCCAACGCAATAATAATAACAACAATAATAATAATAACAATATTAAAAACAATAATAATAACAATAATTATAATAATAACAACAATAATAGCCACTCACGTTTTTCGGACGAAATTCTGATTTAAATACTAGTACATTAATGTTTAGAACCAACATATACCATAAGTCATAACTATATACAGTTCGAAATACTACGAGTTTTATCCGGACAATTCGGTCGGAAATCGAAAAATTTCTAGAAATAGTTGCATGTTTGATAAATGTATAGTTTTGGCCCCTCAACAAAGGAGGCTCCGAAAATTATAACTTTTTTAAATCGTCTTATTTTGACGCGAAGATTACAAATCCTTGAGCGGAAAGTCGATTTTTATAATAAATATATTTTGAATTTTTTTTAAAAATCCAAAAAATGAAGCACATGTTCTTTCGCATGGCAACTGCTTTCTGCACTGGCGTCCTTCGGTCGCGCTTAAAAAAAATAACCCTGGTCGGTCCAAGAGCAGGTGCCCATAATTCTTTTGCGTGCTGAAAGGAGTTCGATACAAAAAAACCATTGACACATAGTTTTGATATGTTTCTAAATATTTCATTTAAAAATAATCAAATTTATGTTTACGTTAACTTACTTATGATAACGCGTATTAATCTATTCGACTCTGTGGTGGAAATTTAATGTAAAATGTATAAAAACCAATTTTACAGTAAACATTACTTTTTTGATAACAGCCAATAACCAATGCCACTTAAAAACAAACTGTCCAGAATACCAAAAGAGGCGAACCAAACAATATATCTATAATTAACCAAAGTGTGTATAATATTTAGTGTTGTCACAGAAAATACTTTCTTTTACCGAAATGTCCTACCAGAGCCACCGAAACCTATCAATTTTCTTTACTGTCAAGCTTATTTAAGGCTGGATGCCAATCAGTAATTTTTTCACTGTTTTGAATAGTGGTGAACAAATTTGCTAGTGTAAAAAAATTTATATATTCCTGTGCCAAATGGAATGTAATATTTTGCACTTCGATTTCAAAACATATGCAATTACGCCGCTTTTAGTATTATTTACATTATTATATATATTTGTAATTTATTACTTGAGAATCTTAGACAACATACTAGCCTGCTACTATGCGACTTGCGCTAAATATTTGCTTTGGAATAAGTCTTTTGACAATACTTTTAATAATCAATCAATCATAATTTTATATTTGCACTCACACCACTTGGTTGTAATGTCGTCATCGGAAGATAACTTACTTTTGTGAGGGTCTGCTGCAGTTCTATTGCAAAATAAAAATAAAACTAATAGGAAAAAGCAGAAAAATAGATATAGAAATTCGCAGCAACTTTGCACCGCAGCAAAAAGCGGGTATGCAAATCTCACATTGAGAAAAATGCAACGCCACCCTGAAATAATGCACACGCGGTTCCAAGGTGGGCGACGGATAACAATAAAAATAATAATAATAATAATAAAAATAATAATAACAATAATAATAATAAGGGAAAACTTTAGTATACCATCCCACGAATTCATGGTTTAAAGGGGTATGGTTAGATAGAGGAGATTCTCCAGATCAAGAATATATATAATTATAGCCACCGGAAGCTTATAGCTTTCGAGATATTTGCAGTTTTATCTTGCAATTTCTCGATTTATAGTTAAGTTTTCTTTTATATTATGCACCTATTATACACTAGCTCATTGTTTCTACATATTTATTTTATATCAATTATTTACATATTTGCTTTAAATAAGCATTTTATTTTGTACACAATTGTCGGTATATTCACAATAACAAATGGGATTAATAGATGTTGACAAATTATAAGTGTTGCCATATCCAAACGAATGAAAGCAATCAAAATAAATAAAAACACCCTTTACAAAATATTATCATCTAAATTTTCCATTTTAATCAAATAAAAAGGTTTTAGGGCTTATAAGTATGTTTTATTGGCCTTATTCGCTGAATATGTGTTTTTGTTTTTGGTTAGATTTCCTTTCCGCGTTGGCAGCCTTCGGCCGCGCTTCTAAAAAAATAACCCTGGTCGATCCAATACTGAATCACAGTACTGGGAAAGGAAACAAAAATAATTATGATTAATGTATGTATGTATGTATGTTATGTATCAGGTATAATCCTCTTTTGTTATTCATTTCAATTCATTTGCAAAATATATATATATATATAATAGATATGGGAACACTTATTATTTGTCAACATGGAACGCTTTTTTGTGCTAGTGGATATAACGAAGATTATGTTAAAAAAAGATATGCTTATTTAAAGCAAATATGAAAATAATATATAATATATAAAATAAATATTTAGAAACAATGTAGGAAAGTCTTAGTGAATAAACGAAAACTTAAATATAAATCGAGAAATTGCAAGGTAAAAGTTGTAAAATTTTTAACTTAAAATGCAAATATCTCGAAAACTATAAGTCTCCGTCGGCTATAATTGTATATATTCTTTATCTGGAGAAACTCTTTTATCCTACTTTACCCTTTTTAACCCTGAAATCGTGGGATGGTATACTATAGCCGACCCAATAATAATAACAATAATAACCACAACAATAATAATAATAATAACAATATTAAAAATAATTATAATAATAACAATAATGATAATAATAACAATAACAATAATAATAATATCCACTCACGTTTTGCGTACGAAATTCTGATTTAAATACATTCATATTTGGAACCAACATATGTATACCATAAGTCATATGTTGACAATTGTTTGATATATGTAAAGTTTTGGTCCCTCAACAAAGGAGGCTCCGAAAATTATAACTTTTTTAAATCGTCTTATTTTGACGCAAAGATTACAAATCCTTGAGCGAAAAGTCGATCTTTACAATAATTATATTTTTTTTTTATTTTTTAAACAAATGAATTTTTACAGAAAAAATCCAAAAAATTAACACACTTGGCACATGTTATTTCGGATGGCAACTTGAACTTTGAAATGTGTCTAAATATTTCATTTAAAAATTAATAAATTTATGTTTACGTAAACTTACTTATGTTAACGCGAATTAATCTATTCGATTCTGTGGTGGAAATTTAATGTAAAATGTAGAAAAACCACTTTTACAGTAAACATTACTTCCTTGATAACAGCCAATAACCAATACCACTTAACAACAAACTGTTCAAAATACGAACAAAGACGAACCAAACAATATATCGATAATGAACCAAAGTGTGTATTATATTTAGTGTTGCCACAGAAAATACTTTCTTTTTGCCGAAATGTCCTACCAGAACCACCGAAACCTATCAATTTTCTTTAATGTCAAGTTTATTTAAAGCTGTGTGCCAATCAGTGCTTTTTTTCACTTTTTCGAATAGGTGTGAACAAAATTGCTAGAGTGTAAAAAAACTGTGCCAAATGGAATATAATATTTTGCACTTCAATTTCAAAACATACACAATTACGACACTTTTGTTGATATTTACATTTTCTATATATATAAAACAAAGTCGGGTTTGT